GCAATGCTGCATGAGGTGGCTGCTGTGTGAGGGCACTATTTATCATTGACTCGAAATGTCATTGACTCGAAACATTCATCGAACATTCATCGACCGGTACATTCAAGTACCATGCGTTTCTTGGAATGGAACAAACTGTTTTAACTCATTCCATACTGCCAGTCGTTCATCTCCAATTGGTGCATTTGTTAGTCGTGATGTCTCGACAATCGTTTCATTGTTGATGTCCTTGTACTTAAGCCACACGGGAGAGAAATCTTTGGCAAGAGGGAATCCATGTTCATCATGCAAATATATAGGCGGGCCAGATTCCATAAGTCTTCTCATACTTCTTTCACAGGAACTATTTACACAGTCGTTAACGAATTTATTGTATTGCGTCGCCTTAAGTTGCATCACACAATCCAAACAAAATCGAGACGCCTATTTAAAACGGAGTGGACATGGACATGGAGTGACATGGACATGGAGTGACATGGACATGGAGTGACATGGACATGGAGTGACATGGACATGGAGTGACGTGGACATACCTCCCAAGCAGGATCCTCGGAGTCGGGTTGATGTTCAGCATTATAGCTTCCAATATAGTAGCTTATCACAGGGTCAATGAGCTCAAAGCAAATGAGACATTCTGAGGCCATTTTGGTCAATAGGGAGGGAGTGTCAAAAGAGGAAAAAATAACAGCCGCACGGTTGGTTGTTCATGATAGCAGTGTTCATGAATCGGGCTGGAACAATCCCTTGCTGGAACAGTACGTACCTTACTGCTTGTTCAATACGTACCTTATTGCTTGTTCGGGTCGGTCACAAGTTCGGGACGGTCACAAGTTCGGGACGGTCACAAGTTCGGGAATTGAATAGCAGCGTTGATTTTTTTCCCAACATGAAGTGTACTGCCAGAGCTCCGTCTCAGGTGCGGACATTTCTCGCACTCATGGCCCGAGTGCTGTTGCCGGTGAGGGTGAACGGGTGCTGGTTGGATGCGACGTCGGCAGAGGAGGCGATGCAGAGTCTGCTGGCCAGGAGCAACGTGCCTGTCTCGAAGCGGTTGAGTGCGATTGTAGAAGGCTTGGGCATCATGAAAGACATGCAGCCCGGCGAAGACGTGATTGTGGGATGTACATGGGCAGGGAAGGATTTGGTTTCACGTAGTCACCCCGATCATGTGAAGTACTTTGCCAGTCTTGTGATCGCAAGTCAGAGAACTCAAGCTAGCTTACTCGTGGTTATTTATGACTTTTTGTCACGCTGCAAAGAAATGAATGCACCACGGAACTTCAGTTGGACTACAGTGGAACCACGCGAGAGGCTTGACGCCTGGGAAAACAAGTCCAGGCGTGCGGCCCGGCTCGGATATGGAGCCTGGGCACTGCGTAGCAAGAGACACCCGAGTGATCCCGTTGAAGTGAAGACACTCGCGAAGCGCTCCCGATGCCTACATCCCGTCCGAGAATATGGAGCATTTGTAGAGCTCCCAGCATTCCATTACAAATGCCGATTCTCCATGTCCTCCTGGATCAGAACGAGGACGGAACCACCAGACTACTACCAGTGGGGGGAATAGCTATTTTGAACAGCCGGACTGTGGGGATGCTCGAACCGTGGGGTTAGTGATTGGAAGTGTTTCATAAAAATGTTCTCAGCGCCCGGTGGTGGTCGCAGGGGCTGAGGGTGGTGGTGGTCGCAGGGGCTGAGGGTCACTGGCTTGGCCGGCAGGTAAATTTCTGCCTCCGCCTCCACCTCCCGGCCTCACACTACCGATCCGATCGCTTGCTCGCTCGCTCGCTTGGCGGATTTAATCGAAAAATTGCTGAATTCTAATACCTCAGCTACGGGTATCTTGCTCCCGTCGGGCTGGTCAGCGGATAGATAGATTGAGGGACGAAGTTCTAAAAGGCGAGTAAATCTGTATGCATAGAGTGTATGTGCTTACCAATAGAACGTCTTTTCCACCTTCTACCGTTGGCCCCGTAGCTGTTGAACCGCAGTTAGGGTCAAGAAGGGGCATCCTGGCATCTGTTTGGTTATATAGCCTGTTGGCTGCCGTCGACGCAGAGGGGTGTTCCCGACGCGGCGGCCAGAACAAGGCAAGGACCAGTTGCGCAGGGAACCACTCACTCACAATAATCATGATTGCGTCCCAGAAGTGAATGGAGTACCCTTTCCACTCCGCACCAATCAGCTTAGTTCCCACCGCTCCTTCATATATACCCCTAGCCCAAAACGCCAGAGGAGTAATGGTTGATAGCAGCAGCACTCTTCGGATCACTGCTGACTTCCTAGTATTGTAAGACCGATTTTCGGAGTCGCCAGAAAACTGAAACGCCACCTGCAACGAATGTCAGTACAGTCAGTATGTGCCCGAGCCTGTGCCCGAGCCTGTGCCCGAGCCTGTGCCAAACCGAAAGCCCAAACCGAAAGCCCAAGCCGAATCGTCCGTACCAAGTACGTACAAACTGAGTGCAATTTAACTAACCGACCAGTGGATTTACTTTTAGGCCGTACAAGCTGAATGCAATTCCCACACAGAGGAACAGCGCAGACAGCAGTAAGGCATTATATATTCTCAATTCCTCGAAAGCCGCGAGTAACTTGGTCATTGCAGCAACCACGAATAGAATAGAATAGACACCTATTGATACAGATTGATCAAATAACATCGATTTATCGCAATACAATCGCATCATGTGTGTGACACACGCGTGTGTGACACACGATCGT